AAGCGTCGAGTCCGCCCGTAGGCTGCCGGGCGCAGAGTCGACAAAGGATGACGCTGCAGACGAAGCGTTGGATAGCTGTCGGAAGTGTGGAGACCGCGGGCTTGGCGTCGGGATGGGACTGGAGGCTGTAGGCTGCAGATTCGCTCGTGATGCCTCGAGATGACCTTGCGGGTTGTGTGTCGGAGTTTGTGGTAGGCCGGACGGCGATGGCGAGCTCGATTGGTCTCTGCGTCTATTCTGCATTTCAGTGTTGAGTGTCGATGTTGGCTCTGACATCGGGTTGAAGCCTGCGAAGTCCTGCACCGGCGCTTTGCCTTTCCCTTGAAATTGCTCTTCCGGAATTGCGGGAGTGGTACCCAAATTGCTCGTCGAGCGGCCCATACTGGTACTTGCCCATGTGCTCGTACTATCATTCGTGCCGACCGGATACAGCGAGGCGTTACTGCCGCCTCGTTTCTTGGTCAGCTTCTCCTCCTTCTTGGCTTGCTTCTTATCCTCCTTCGCCTTCTTCTTCTCTTCTCTCTTGGCATCCTTGTCTTCTCTACGCTTGCGGTCGTCCTCAGCGGCAAGAGACAAGCGAATCGCTTCCATCATCATGAGGTCCTCAAGGTCGTCCACGCGGGTACGTCGTGAACTTGAGCGGGCCGGGTACATGTCACTACTGCCGTCTTGAGGCTCTCTGTCAGCGCGCGCACACTCAAATAAGCTGGCGTAAGCGGCCACTGTCATACCTTCGGGAAGTCGTGGCGTACCGCTGCCGCTTGCGCTAGGGCTGTCGCCAAACAGCGTCCTACGCCGTCTGCCAAAACTACTTAACGCACCGCGCACTTGGCCATCGCCTTGATTTCCCAGCACGTATGCCGCGTTATGGAGCGCTGTAGCGGCCGCAGAGCGCCGCAGAGTATGCGCTCGGGCATCGGAAAGTTTCTTCGCCCAATCGGGCCGCACTTTGTCGGTTGTGACAACCTGCGGTGCATTCGCAGATAGTGATGTCGCTCTCCGACGTACACCGCTGCCGGATTGAAGTGATGAAGACGAGGACATGGCTGAGTTGAGGTACTTGAACGAATGCGAATTCGGATACGCCAAGCCTCGTCGGAACGTTGGCGGGTCATAAGTCACGCCGAACTCAGGCGTCACGCAGAAAGGACAGGCCGCCACCTCGGAGACCAGCAAATCAGCTTCTTCCTCTGGCGCTCTCGGCTGGCCTGGCTGCTCGTGTTCAGGCGGATGAGGATCCGGTCGCTTGATCTGCACGAAGCACTCGGAGCAGATTGGCTGATCGCAACAGCGGGTCTTGTTGAGGTATGGAGGATAGTACATGAAGCAGATTGGACATTCGGGCGCCTCTCTGTACAGGTAGGCTTCGACGGGTAGGCCGTTCACATACGGTTCCTTAGGAAGCTGTATCTCCTTGGGCGTCATATCAGGCGAGTGACTTTTAGATCCTGTTGCCAATGACGCCAATGTCTTGGCACGGCCCCTCAATAGCGCAGATGTGTTAGTAGGCGACGAGAAGCCGGAGTTGGAGAAAGCCGGGTGTGAGGCGGAAAGGTTCGCAGAAGTATCAGATTGATAGGACTGTGACCTGGACGAGATGGGCACCATCAAATTACTGGTGATGACATCCAATCCTCGCGAGTTCAGTGAGGCCTGAGAAGTCGTCCTCGCCATATCCAGCGGTACTTCATCAGCAGCGGGTATCGGCAGACCTCTGACTGCTGCCACCAGCTGCGCCTCGGTCCATGAGTCCGAGTGATCATTCAGACCTTTCCAGAAGGGCGCCAATCGCCGCTCGATCTGCAGTTGCCGCACGATGACCTTGTCAAAATCCTCGGCGCCGGTGTATGTGCCTAGCGTGACCAGGTACCCTCCATCCACTCCCTCCTCCCGCATGCTCCGCTCTCGCTCCTTCAGGCGAGTCTGTCTCTCCCTCTCCGCCCGCCGCGCCTCCTTCTCCTGCTTGGTCTCACGCGGCCGCTCCGGTGCAGCGTCCTCGCCTCGGTCTCGACCCAGACTGAGGAAGGATATGTCATGCCGGCTACCCCTTCCGCTCCCACTCCGCGTGCCGTAGATATGGGTAGTTATCCGGTCTGTCGAGGCCTGCTGTGAGGTCGGCGACGGTAGGCCAGGTGCCGTGTGTGAGCTCACTTGCCTGAGGCCGCCAGGCCGCGATGGACGGCGCTCACGCTCACGCTCATCCTTAGACGAGCTGTTGCCCATGGTGTTTGCGCGTCCCGGACGCTCAATCGGGCGTAGGGTGTGGTTTTAGTGGACGGCTCGCTTTGTTAGGCAGCCGCGACACCATTGATAGGTGTTTGGATCAATCCTCGCATGCAAATATGCCGTTTGTCGCTGTCCACGTGAGGAGGATCGGATGTTGCAGCGGGCGCGAACAGCTTCCGGGAGGGGGGTCGTTGGTTGGGTCAGTCACCGTGGATTAGCCAGCACCGCAGAGAGTGAGCGCATCACAGCACAAGAACAGCACCACGTTCTGCATCTTCGTCTAAGGATGATAATCCGGGCATCCGCGGACCTCAAATCAGCTGTCCTCACTGTTCGAATGAATTACGAATAGCTCAAGCTTTGAGTACTAAGCCGGGTGATGCGGGAGTGGACAAGGCTCAAGCAGCAGGTTCGAGGTGCATCGTGCATCTTACATGACGCTGTTGCGCCGCACTTGCGCAGCTGCTAGCTCAGCTTGACGAGCGCTAGTGCATTCTGAAACTGGTCGACACGTGTTCGGGGATGAGAATCATGAGATCTGCTTGAGATGAACATCAGGGCGAGGCGCACGAAGTGTCGAAACAAGGCAATCGCTCGGTAGTGTGCCTGGCAGACCAGCAATTGAGGTAGGCCGCCGGTCGGCAACTTCACAGCTACGTAGAGGAGAGATCTATATCACGACTGCCTCCCAAAATGGCACGCTCATTCCACCCAAGATATCGTCAGTCGTAAACGCGAACAACCACATGTCTACCGCAGTGCCATCACGGCCTCTTCGGGGTACGGCACTTCGTCTGGCTGTGGACTTGCAGCGGGCGTCAGCCACGGCTGCTCCTCCGGTCTGAGCTGCTCCTGCTTCGCACGCTTGTTGACAAAGTCCTTGCCAGGGCTGTCCCAGACGTAGTCTAGGTACTCATCCAGATGCTCTTGAATGCCATCGGCCAGGATTTCGATGGCCTTTCGCCGGTTAAGACTCCACTCGTGATCGCGCTTCCACCGCCCAGCTCTAGTTGCAGTCTCCTGACCGTTTTCGAGGCCGTCCAGTATACTCCTCCAGACTTGCATTGTCTTCTCCAACTCGCTGGCCTTGCTGACACCCATGACGCTTACGCCAAGCCTAGAGCCACCGAGTTGCTCATTGGACTCGCGCGTCCATGGTACACCAGATGCTGGGTGGCCACGCGAACCAACAGACTCTCCAATGCTCAGCCACTGCTCCAGTGCGTAACGGATCGCGACGACCTCGAGCTTTTCGTCATATCGGTCACAGAAGTCACTTGCGCGCTTGACAGCGGCCCGTAGTCCATCGCTCGAGGGATGCCAGTTGCCCATGCTGCCCATCGGGACGCCCTCACTCCTCAGCAGACCCATGCTGAGTAGAGAAGCGTTCGGCACCACGTCGACACCAGCCGCTTTGAGCTCGCGAATGCCGGTTGTCGCAAGTAGGGTGTTCTGAAGGTTGAAGTTCGAGTACGACATGACAGCGTCCAGTGGTTCACCCGTCTCGCGCAACACGCGGTGCGCGAGCGAGCAGAGTACCGGCAGCGGGTAGCCTGAGATGCCTACGTACTTGATCGTGCCTTCTTCGTCGCGAATCCGCCGCAGCTCCTTGACAGCCTCCATGACCTCCTCTTCGGAAACGAACTCCACATCGTGGCAGTAGACAAGGTCTAGGTACGTAGTCTTCAGCCGTTCCAGGCTGCGTTGTATGCTCTGCCGTACCCATTCCTTCGAGTAGTCGAACTCATCCGAAGTGATCCGGCCAACCTTGGTGATCAGGAAGTACTCGTCGCGCGGAACGTTCTGGCGCACGAATTCTGTGTCAAGCGCTGCGCCGAGTATCACTTCGGAAGGCCCGTAGTAGGGCGAAGTGTCGAAGGCGCGCACGCCAAACTCGAGTGCTTTCTGGACGAGTCCAACCGTGTCCATCTCGTACGGGTCTTTGTTGTACTGGTAATTGAAAGTCGCCGTGCCAAAAATTAGCGGCGGCAAGACTGCAGACAGCGGGACCTTCGTTTCTGTGGTCGCCATGGTATTATCGCGCTCTCAAACTCCAGGCGCACTGCCTTGTATTATATCCTTCACTTCCGTGTGTTCCGGAGGCAACGAGGTTCGGAGGTAAGGGATCGCTATCGGCCGGGTTGTTGTTTGGGGAGTCGGGCGGGATTATAGAATAATGTTCAGAGCATCGTGAAGGATAGAAGGAGAGCTTGACCCTGCCGAGTTGCTCTAAGGAAACACATCTTGGAACGCTTGCAAATGCAATCTGGACAAGCGTTGAGGACTTTGCCCATGATGGTAAGGCTAAAGCTCTGGCGCCGAGAGTGGCGTCGCGATTCTCGCGATGGGCGCACAGAATCTACGGACCGCACTGGGCGATGGCGACATTGCTTCTGGAAGCAGCTCTAGAAGCCCACGTGCAGCTTATCTTGGGATGGTCTTCGGCATCGGGACAAGTACCGAGACGCCGCCCTCGCAGCCTCGCAGCCTCCCCTCTGGGACGCTCAAATTGGTTTGTTGGCGATCGATGTTGGAGTTGGACACACGGTAGGAGGTAGATGCATGGAACAACTATGGTACCCTTACTAAGCCAACGTCACCTCCCGTTTCATGTGGTATCGTTGGGATTGGTTCCGTTTTCGTCTCATTGCTGGATAATGATTAGCAGGGGAGCGGGATATATCTCGGTGCTCATCATGAGCTATATAGATAAAATTATTAGTCACGTGTAATATGCGACATCAAAACAGTAATTATGCTTGATCGCATAAACAGGGCGTGTGGCTCAGTGGTAGAGCGCCCGCTTTGCATACCGTGCTTGCGGGAGGTCCAGGTTTCGATCACCTGCCCGTCCACCATATTTTTGTTTTTGCGGGCTTCCGTCTCGACTCGAATGACTTTTTTGCTTGAAGGCCATTCTTGGTGCGGCGACGTCCCACGAAGTAGCAAACAACCTGTCCGTTCCCGAGAATGGTTTTGTGCAGGCCACGTTCGTGGGCCAGTTGTGATTGGCCCCCTGGGGTCGTCCGTTGACTAGATGATTCCTCCCTGACCTGATACATGATGACTTTCCCGAAGTCAGATGTGCGACGACGTCTCGGCTCAGACCAGTAAATGCAGCAGGAACAAGTACACCTTCGAGCGTCGCCGTCATTCGACAACTGAACAAAAGGTACTAGCTCATGATAATGTAAGACTAAAACGTACACCTGCCAGGCCAAACAACACACGAAAGGGAAGTGAAGTCGCAAGTACCAATCATCGAACCGGGAACCATATATTGGCTACATGCAACCAACCGACGGGTTGATGCGCATGGGTCTCTTGCATGCACTCCGCGACCCTGAAATGGAGTCTTGGTGATTTCGTAACAACTGCCTATACTACGGAGAAGTCTTGAGGGACACGCATTGAGACACTTTGAGCGTCTCAACAAGCTTTCATTGAAAACGGCACTGCATAGCCGTTCGCCAAAGCTAAGCGTTTGCCTCTAACGCCATGATATGCCGTGTGCACCACCATTCATCACCACAACGCCTGGCGACTCCGCGGCCTTTACTGGCATCTAGTACGCCCTGGCCAAGTTCCTCAAGTACCAATCCACCAGCCGTCTGCCGACCTTCGCCTCCGCAACGTGGATCAGATCACCCTGCATAGCATAGTCCAGATCGGCACTGTTGACGATGTCGCCCTCGAGCAGTCCACCTTCGCTGTGCCTGACCTGCCTCGACCGCTGCTTGTTGACCAGTAGCCAGTTTCGCAGAGTGTCGGCATCCACCTCCAGAAAGCCGGCGAGCTTGGTAAGGTCCATGGTGGTGTACAGCTTCAGGTAGCTGCGTACGGTCGGGCTGTACATGTTGTTCTTCACCTCCTCCATGAAGACCGCCAGCTGGTGCTCCACCGGGTCGATGTTGTGCTGCGGGTTCTCGAAGTCCGGCGGTGTTGGCGAGATGAACTTCGGGCACGCCGCACGGAACAGCTCCTCGAAGATCGGCAGCGACTCCGGCCCGCCACGTTGCATGCGCGTGAGCTGCTCGCCGTACTTCTCCCTCAGCGCTGTGTGGATCGTGTCGTCCAACCTCGTCGGGTAGAACGCCACACAAATGGCCACCAGCGCATACATCTGGTCATTCTGCTTCGAGATGGAGTCGTACTGGGCGCCCTTCTGGAAGTTCTTCGTCCGGCTGACGTAGATGAGGATGTGGTTGAACATGCGCAGAGCGTCGGCGTAGCGGTGCATCATCATGTAGCTGAAGCCGACATAGTAGTACGTTGTGAAGTTGGCGGCCATGACGCGCGCGAACATGGCCTTCTTGTTGAGCTCGATGTCGTCGAGAGTCTTGAGGGCCAGGCTGAAGTCGCCGAGCAGGCAGTGCACTCTGAGCAGGCCGATGACGGAGAAGTAGCCGAGCATCTGGTAGAGGGGTCTGCTGCCATACTCGCCGGCGTATGGTGCTGGGTCTTCTCCTCGCTTGCGCGCGGCGAGCTGTTCGCTGATCTGGGAGCGCTGGATGAGGGAGTAGAGGACGTTGAGGACGGAGTAGCAGCCCCAGGTGTTTGGGTTGTCGCGTAGAACAGACACCTCTTCTTCATTGACGGAAGTGGTGGATTGCTGGAAGGCGATGCGCTGGCGGTAAGAGCAGAAGGAGTTGAACTGGTAGATGAACTCGTCGATCACGTCCCAGGCCCAGTAGTACTGCAGTCGACCATCAGCACGTGGCCCGTCACCTCGTTCGCTCGTGTGTACTCACAGATGGCACCTCAATGTCCACAGGCCCCTCACTATTCAGGATGAAGTGGAAGAGGTTGCAGTAGCTGTCGTAGCTCTGCGTCTTGGCCTCGATCGTCGCCCCATATTCCAGCGGTGTCGCTGCCGCTTGTAGCTGTGCCTGCAGATCTTGTGGTCCTCCTCCCAGCGACCCCGACCGGTCCAAGTCGTATCCCTGTCCGTCCTGGTAGCCCACCTGCTCCTTGTAGTCGTTTGCGAGCGCCTCCTCTTCCGCGTCCGAATCGTCATCCGCCGGCCGCTCCGGCGCGGCCTGCTGGTATGTGGGCGCTCGTCGGACGGACATGTTTGGTGTGTGTGATGGAGTCGAAGGGTTGGCTTCGTCGCGTTATTAGGTGTTGTCTTGCTGCGTTCGACTGAAATTCATCGCTAGCGTCCTCTTCCGACGTGGAAATCTTGGCGTCCCGATACGGCAATTCCGCTGTCTGAGATGAAGGCGGGGCATATATAATTGATGATTCCCGTCCCTCTGCAATCGTCTGAAAACCGGTACACTGCTATACGTAGCTTCGACGCGCTGACGACTATAAGGTATCGCTTGAGAGGGTTTCAGGGTCCATCGGTCAAACCATCAGATGGCGCCAGTATACAGAGTCGCGGTGATACAGATGCACCCAAAGGTGATACTCACCGAATACCTATATGCCTTTCCGACCCCGGCTGAGTCCTAGCACAGCCTATGCAACAGGAGCAAAACTACGAAAAAGCCGAAAAATCCATCCGTTCAGCCGCGAAACAAGGAGCCGAGCTCGCCGTCCTCCCCGAGTACCATCTTCTCAGCTGGGTCCCGAACGACGAGAAGTTCAAGGAAGCCTGCAGCCATTGGGAGACGTACCTCAACAAGTACCGTGCCCTGGCCAAAGAATGCAACATCAACATCGTCCCTGGCACGATCGTCGAGCTCCACGACGCCGGGACCGAAAATGAGAGACTGGAGAATGTGGCGTACTTCATCACCAACACTGGTGATATCGCCGGCAAATACGTGAAGAAGAACCTCTGGGGCTCGATCGAGCGCTTGCACTTGACGAGTTCGTCCGTGGACCCGCACCCCGTGTTTGATACGCCGTTGGGGAAGGTCGGGATGCTCATATGCTGGGACCTAGCCTTCCCAGAGGCCTTCCGGGAGATGATTTTCAAAGGCGCAAAACTGATCATCATCCCAACCTTCTGGACGTACAATGACTGTTCGAAGGCCGGAGCGGCGGTCAACCCAACGGCAGAAGGATTATTCCTCGATAGCATGCTGACGGCGAGGTGTTTTGAGAACACTTGCGGTATGTCTACCTCCCCACAGCTGTCTTGTAGAACCCTGATACGTTGCTGACACTGGGTGTAAGCGATCGTCTTCGCCAACGTCGGCGGCCCGCCAGGTGAAGGCTACGCTGGACTCTCCCAAGTATGCGTGCCATACGCGGGTGCCCTGACTCGACTCGGGAGCCATGCGGAGGGTATGGCAGTTGTTGACCTAGACATGCAGATCGTAGAAGATGCAGAGGAAAACTACCAGGTGCGAGCCGACTTGGCGAGAACGGATTGGTACTATCACTACCGACACAACAACGAAACGGAGACGGAAGAGGCCAAACTATAGGAAGCAAGAATGACGATATATTGACATACCAACTCCAGCACCGCGCCGCATCATGTCGGTCTGCCGCCTGCGGCAAGATCTGATGTCAAACCTGCAGCCTAGTCCTCGCGATACTGATCCAACCACTTCAGCATGTAGCTCGCCCGTCTCCTCATCCGTCTCAACCATGCTGGACCCTCAGCCTCAGCCTTAGCCTCGATCCCCGTCTCAATTCCTGTCTCGACTTTGATCGGCACGTTGGGCTGACTGTACAGGTCCAATCTCGAACCGAAGTTGGCGTTCGCCGGGCTCAGAGTGTCTTCGCTCAGCCGACTGCTGTCGGATCCGCTTGATGCAGGCATGGGCGGCAACGGCTTGTTGAGGAAGATCATGTCGGGTCTAGCTGTCGCTATCGTTATCGCCGTCGCCTCCTCGAGCTCGCGGACAGTACTCACGGAAGTCGGGGTTGGTGGGAGCGGCGGATTTCCGTAGGCGAGCATATCGGACTCGGTAGGAGGATCGAACTGCCTGAGCCGAACGCTGTTCGAGCGTACGGTTGCTCCTCTCCGCGGTGCCCCCGGCAGCTCACGGACACTGGTCACGGACACAGGTGTGAGAGGCAGAGGTCGATCGAGATATGCCAACGTGTTCCTAGCGACGCTGGTCTGGAGATAAGGGCTCCTGGGAACGAGCGCATCGGCTCTTGCTCTCCGTAGGTCCCTCATCGCGCCTTCCGTCGGCAGCTGGCTTCGTGCTGGCACCGAGCTTTCCGAGAAGGCACGCGGCACGTCCGTGAACGCATCAATGATGGGACCAACGACCGGCGCTGATTCAGCCTGGATGCGCCCACCAGACGTACGTGTGCACCAGCGGCCAAAGGTAGTGTTGTGGATGGCAAGAGGCATCTGATGTGCGCGCTGAAACATGTTGCGCATCCTGTGTTCGGGAGGTTGGCTCGTGGTATGATGTATGCGCAGTGAGATGACTTGGCCAGCAAGTTGTCTTGTGGAGTGTGAGCACTTGTACCGAGCTTGCACGAACGGGCAGTACTGTCTCGAACCAGTGTTGGAGTTGAGTTGAGCATACTTGTACGTTGAACCGCGCACACAATGGACAAAGCGTGGTGTGAGACAACAAAGGCTATTGTTGGGCAGTCGCTTTGTTGCACCACTTTCACGTTGGCCCACCACACCAAGGCGATTGAGCGATACCAGATTGAATGGTCCAATCTTTCTGCAATGCATCAGAGGGGTATAGAACTACGCGATGAAGCAGAGGTCGAAAGCAAATTACTTCCACGCACGTCGTCTTTGAAGCCGAAGTCGTGTCAGCATTCAGCCTTTTGCAGCACCCTCGCCATCCACATGTTCGCCACCATTTGACTTGACGGTGGTGGCAGTCTCCCGCAGACTCGGCCCAGTGCCACCATACTCCTTCGGTATGCCCTCGCCCAAGTACTGATGCAGCTGGTCACCATAAGTCATCCACGTCATCTT